CGATGACCTCCATGCATACCAGGCGAGGTAGTTAACATCTCGCCACCCTGATGGCAATACCCCAACCCCCCTCCCCCCACCGTGCTTTGGACCTTAATGAGAACTAAATCTTCTTGGTTCTTTCGGTAAAGTCACGTAGAAGGGAAGTAATAAAATAATAAAAATAAAACATAATAAAATAATTCTCACCACGTTTCGGCCACAACGCAAGCAGCCGTCCTCAGGTGTAGAACAGGTCTGTCGGTGTGTCATTCAGACTCTGTCTACTCGACAGACCTGTTTTCCACCTGAGGACGGCTGCTTGCGTTGTGGCCGAAACTTCGTGAGAATTTTTTTATTATGTTTTATTTTTATTATTTTGTTATTTCCATTCTACGTGACTTTACCGAAAGAACCAAGAAGATGAATCCCTGCAGTCACGAAAGCTTTAAATCGAGAACTGAATCGTAATGGCCTGCTTGTGTTCGCAGGATTTTGGCTTCCAGCGAAAATAAACAAAAAGCGAAACAAAGTATGGATTACGTTGGCAGCTGTTCACAAACATAAACGAGCCAAACAACCTCGCCACATTCATCATTTGCAGTGCCATGAATCACATTACTTACACATAACATCTTACTCATGAACAATGGGCGCGTGTCCAACCGAAAGTGTTGATGAGTAAGCTTCACTTAAATTCCACTCTTTTTCTCAGAGCCCCCATCCATCTAAAATGAAATCTCCAACTACAAAAAAGTCACAGTTGATCACTTTAGGATATCGCGTTTGCGCTGCTCTACAGCTCTCTGATGTGTTTCCGGGTCGTGCCGCGTGTTGCTCGGAACGATGTCCGACGTTTCAGTTCCTGCAGAAGCTCCCAGCACGTGGGGCGAAACGTCTGACAATCACGCCGACCAATAGAGTGCGTTACAATCCGAGGGCTACACCATTCACTGAAAAGGGGGCATTGCGTGAAACGTCAAATCTATCACATCGCGCCGAGCAGAGTGGTCGCAATTTTAACGTGGAGTGAAAATCTGGATGCAGGGAGCAATTTGGCTGTCATTGGACTCTACGTTTCCAACCGGAATATGAAATGAGCGTGGCAGAGCTGCCTGATGGTTCCCCACTGTGCTTTCTCTGTCAACTCGCAAGGAAACTTTCTCGCCGAGTTGACGCCTCGGCCACCAATCCCACGGTCTGGCGTGCAACGCGTGTCACGTGACCGAATGTGCGTGCGTGCGTGCGAAGACTGGGAAACGGGTTTCTCGCTGTGCTACGAACACGGCGACTCCGAGTTCGATTCCCGTTCACGGCTACCAACACCGGTGACGATTATCTGAACCGGTCATGGGCCTCCCCTAGGTCGACTCAGCCTAAAATGAGTACCTGGTGCGGTGTGTAAATACATCGCCACATTTCCACTTTGGAGACTAAAGCCATCGGGCGTGGTGCTGGCAACCCACCCCATCGTGTGCCGTGCCGGCCTTCATAGGTGCTCGGTAACAGCACTTGCCCCAAAACTGTGTTCAGGGTATACGGAGAATTTTGTCTTTGGCTTGTTTACATGTGCAGTCAATACACTGCTGGATGAGGGCCTCCTTACACCGAGGTTGTTTGACCATACTTCACCACGCTCGCCAGTTCGAGTTGAAGAGATTGGAAAGGTGGAGGCAGGACCTGTTCAGATATCACGCGCCACTGATGTTAGCCGTGACCCGGAATCGAATTTAGGTTTCTGGTTTCACAGTGCAACAACCACTGGCCTCACGCTTCCATTTTAAAATATTAAATTGCAATATTTAATCTTTAAAAAAAGATTTAAATCTCGCCTTATAATCACTTGACAAAAATTATTACAAAATCATTACAAAAATAATTTAAGAAAATTATCCTGGAAATACCCTTTAATGGACTTCAGCACAGCACAGGGGTTGCGAGTTTCGGCGCACTTTTGCCAAACTGCTGCAGGGGCAAAGTGCGCACGCAAAAACACTAAGTGACGTCACCGCAGCTCTCATGCCAGGCTAGGTGCACGTGGAGGCCACGTGATGTGTCCAAGGAACACAAAGACCCCCCGCCACCACGTAGCCCGAAACACCGCGCGGGTCAACACTCACGCCCCGTCCGCTTTTGTCTCTTCCCAGAAAGCACGTGGGATAATTTTGACGATCACTCGCCACTGCTGTTAGTTGTGGCCAGCAATCGAATCTAGGTGGACGGGTTTGTAGCGTAGTGCACTAACCACGACGTTACCACTGCCCACTCACTCACTCCCACACATGCATGCACCTATAGATGTGGGGAGCGGCAGTGGCATACAAACCGTCGCGATCCGAGTTCGATTCGCGACCACGGCTAACATCGGTGGTGATTACCCGATATCTTTTTTTTATTTCTGGGCCCTCAGTCGACTGTGCTGACATTGAGTGTCTGGTGGTAACAGCATTTGCAGGCTATACGGGGGATCTTTGTCTACACAGTATATGTGTGTGTGTGTGCATGTGTATCGATCCCTCTGATACATTATCCTCCAGCATTAGACACATAAATGCACATCGCTCCATTACCCGCAGCGCAGGTCTCGGTGAGCCGGGCAACCACCAGGCACGGCTCGCTCGCTTCCCCCAACATCGAAGTTGCTCTCATCGCCACAATTGAGCAAATTGCAACCATGGTCAATCCACTGCTGGATGAAGGCCTCATCCCCCCTCCTCCCCAAGCAGCAGCCATCTCTCACGATCCTGCGATGCGAGCGGTTGCAGGATGGCAGCGACGCCAGTCTTCCTGCACAATCACCCGGGCAACTGGATTTCTCACTCAATATATTCAAGATGAGTCAGAGCATGCCGGAGGCACGTAAACTAGTGGCCACCGCCAAAAGCAAGAGAGTTATACCGGCTGTGGTGTGCCGGGAGCTGTTAACATGCTCCGCATTGCCTACCCCGGACAGACGCGGCTGAAATGAATCTCTGCAGTCACCGTCACTCGAGGGAGCGGTGGCGCAGTGGTTATTATTAGCACCGGAACGACGAAACTTGCGGGTTGAGTCTGATCGTGTCTGGCGAGTGATCTCTTATGAACTTGTCCGAACCTGCCCCCTCCCCCCCCCCCCGCTCTAGGTCTACTTAGCCTTAAATTAGTATCTGGGCTCGTGAGTAAATACGGTAAACAACACTGGGGAAGACAAAGGCGGTCGGGCATGATGCTCGTCATACCATTCGATGGTACGCGGTGCCGACTCTGAATAGGTCTTCGCTAATTACCACCTTGGCCCCGTCTTTGTTTATGTCGCGTGTCGAGGAGCGGCTGAGGTTATTCGATTGATTCCCTGTGTTGTTATCGATGTTTACGCACGGCCCTCGTGTTCATTTTAGTCTGAGGCCACCCTAGGGGAGGCCATGCCACACGTTCACATATCACTTGCCAATCGTGTGACATTCGTGGCCAGGTATTGTAACCAGGTAGCCGCTTTGTAACGAAAGCATCGCAACTCCCCCATTATCTCGCTATGAAGGCCAACATATACACAGGCGTATGCCGACACACTGGTACAAAGACAAAGATCCCTCCCCCTATAGCCTCAACAGACTGTTGGGGCAAGTGCAATTAGCGAGTACTCGTTAAGACCGCCACTGCACACGAGGGGGTTTGGTCGTGGGCATCCCCTGAGTCCGAACCAGGACCGGTTCGGATATTCGTCACCGGTGTTGGCCACGGAGCGCGCACATCGTAAACCCGGTGTCGCTGGGATCGTAGCGCAGTGCGCTAACCACTGCGGCACCGCTCCCCACATACAAAACAAAGACAAAGAACCCCCGTATAGCTTGAACAGACTGTTGGGGCAAGTGCTGTTAGCGAGCACCTATGAAGGCCGACACGGCGCACGAGAAGGGGGGGTGGGTTGGCCAGCACCTCGCCCGGCCGCCTTTGTCTCCCTAGTAGCGATGATTACAAATCGCTACACATACACACACACGCCGCAGACACACTGCCCCACTCCGAGCGCATCGTCTCAATGACATAGAGGAGCGTCGCAGCAAGCGCGCCCGCGTCTCAACGCCACCGCAAGCGGTGTCTCACTGCTCGCACCGAGAGCCCCGCCTCGCGCATCCACAGCCGCCGACGCTGCTCCGCTTACCGCAACCGCGCGCACGCCCGGGTTCGACTCGTAGCGGGAGCGAGCGATGTCATTCGTTCTCGACAATCCTCCCTCCCTCCCCCTATCTACGCCGTGCCATCGCATTGCCACCGTGGGATGTGCGTCTCTATGCGTGTGTATTTGTGCACGCGCGGCTTTGTGCGTTCACAGCTGACAGCTCTTATTATATGCACGTTCGCGCGTGTACGGCACTGCACGCGCTGCACATGCATGCACACGGGTTCCTGCCTGCACTTCGCTGCGCCGCGGTGTCCCCGCGCGCAGCGGTGCCGGCGAGCGCGTGAACATTGTTCGTTAGCGTGTGCGTGTTTATGCATTTGCATTGTGAGCGTGATGCACGTGGGTGTTATACACGCGCGCGCGTGTGTGGCTCCGTGTATAAATTAGACGGTAACGTCTGCGCGCGCGCGCGAGCGTTTATGTGTTCACGCAGGCGATGTGTCTGTGTGTGTGTGTCTGCATGCACGCATGAATAACAGACTGTTGGGGGCATGAACACAAGTGCATGGCATTTACATCGAGTGCGTATATATGTGCGTGTGTGTGCATGCGTGCGTGCGTGAGTATACGTGTGTCTGTATGTACGTGTACCAAGAAACGCTCGTGTACGCACGTGCGTATGTGCATCATGTGCTCGTCCACGTGTATGCATGAACGCGTGCGCGCGTGTGCCAAGCGCACGCATACACTGACACACAGACACGATTAAGCGTAACACACATAGACACACGCGCGGTTATGCGTTAAGGCACACACGCGTGGTTATGCGTTAAGGCACACACGCGCGGTTATGCGTTAAGGCACACACGCGCGCAGACACAACCGGAGACATTTACGATGAGACGTAAATCTCACTCACGCCTCGTCCGTCTGGTGGTAGTGATGGCTTCGACAGAGCAGGGAATGTCCGCACGCTTGCCCCATCCCGATCTCTCTACCCTCTTTGCCCGCTCTCCCTCTCGCTCACGGAAATATATAAAGGGTACAGTATATATTAATATTATTATGGTGCTGATGAATCAAGTGTTATATTTAACGGCGGGCTTGCCAGTCAGAGCGCTCCCAGTAGCGGCAGCAGCGGCAGCAGAGATGCGAGGTTCATCGCCGCCGCTCTGAGCCTGTGCGCCACCGCGGGGGAACTGCGGGCGAGCGAGATGGGGGCGCGCCTTGTCGCGCGCTTTTTATTCGTGCACGGGGCGTGCGCGCGTGTGTGTGTGTGCGGCACGTGTGTGTGTGTGTGCGGCACGTGTGATGTGCGCGCGCGCGTTCGGCACGTGTGTGTGCGTTCGGCACGTGTGTGTGTGCGTGCGCGTCAGGCACGTGGGTGTGTGTGCGCGCGTGGGGTACGCGTGTCAGTGTGTGCGCGCGTGTGTGTGAGCGCGCGCGGCACGTGCGTGTGTGTGTGTGCGTAAGGTACGCGCGTGTGTGCACGTGGGATACGCGCGTGTATGTGTGCGTGCGTAAGGCGAGTGCGTGTGTATATGTGAGCGTGCGTTGAGCACGTGTGTGTGTGTGGATGCAATAACTATATGTGCACTGCCTGGGTGCACGCGTACAAAGACAAAGATCCCCCGTATAGCCTGAACAGACAGCTGGGGCAAGCGCTGTTAGCGAGTAGCAACTATGAAGGCCGGCACGGCACACGAGGGGTGGGTGACCAGCGCTACTTGCGGTCGCCTTTGTCTCCCCAGTGCTGATGTTTACACATCTCATCAGGTACTCACTCAAGTCTGAGTCAACCTAGGGGAAGCCCAGAACTGCTTCAGATAATGACCAATGTTATTGGTTCGAGAGCGGAAATGGAACTCGGATCGCCGGGTTGGTAGCGCATCTCGTTAACCTCTCCTCCACCACTACCCCACAATAGACAACAGCCGTGTACATCGAGACACACACGCGCGCGCGCGCATTTTGACGCCTCCGTCTCTTCGTCGGTGGAATTGGCCCAGGGACCCTCGCCCCCCACCTCCACACAACCCCCGGATCCAACCGAAGACGAGCGATTACGCAATCGTGATGAGGGTGATTCTGTGACAACCGCCTTTCCCCTGAGACTGCAATTGGCGTGTTGGGGCTGCGCGCGCGTGCACGCGTGGGTTGTGTGCGCGTGCCCCCCCCCCCCTCTCTCACTGCGCGTTATCGCTTTACGCGTGCAGCGATCGCTCTGCCGTGAAGACGCTGTTTGCGAGGCGAACCTCGGCGCGCCGCTCGTCGACGATGTCTCACGGCTCGACTCTCATCCTGCGGTTTTTGCTCGAGTCCGAAGCAAGCCGCCGATCTAATTAAACGCCGCCGTAGCGCCTTGCGTAATGCGCGACAGCGAGTGGATGGTGTCAGTCTGTGTGGGTGGAGGGATGTGGGTGGAGGGATTTGGGTGGCACTGTAGCGGTGAGCGCGCTGCGCTACGAACCCGGCGGCCAGAGTTTGATTCCCGCTCACGGCCACCAACACCAGCGACGATTATCTGAACCGGTCCTGGGACTCCCCTAGGTCAACTCAACCTCAAATGAGTATCTGGTACGATTTGTAAAAACGAAAATAAGCAATCGGGAGACGACGGTGGCCGGGCATGGTGTTGACCACCCACCCTCTCGTGTCCCGTCCCGGCTTTAATAGGTGTTCGCTAATAGCACTTGCCCCCATATAGCCGACAGTGGACTGCACATACCCCCTATAATCGCCCAGTAATGTCTGTACTTAACGCTCGTGACGTCACTCCACATCGACCAGCCCCCATCATTAATATTCATGAGCAGGAGACGTCCTCCAAATGAACACCCCTCCTCATTAATAATCATGTGCAAGTGACGTCACTCCACATCGAACAGCCCCCCTTATTAATAATCATGGGCAGGTGACGTCCTCCAAATGGACATCCCCCCCCCCCCTTATTTTTACCTACTATAATGAGCCAAGAATGTCTGTGTGCAACGCTCGTGATGTCACTCCACGTCGACCAGCCCCCCTCATTAATAATCATGAACAGGTTACGTCCTCCATATGAACCCCCCTAATTCATAATAATCAGCGGCTGACGTCACTCCACGTGGAGCACCCTCCCCCCTCATGAATAATCATGAGCAGGTGACGTCACTCCACATCGAACAGCCCCCCTCATTAATAATCATTATAAGGTGACGTCCTCCAAATGGACACCCCCCTCGTTCATAATAATTAGCGGGTGACGTCACTCCACAATGGGGGGGGGGCGAGGCGCCTCCTCCCCCCTCCTCAGCGTCAACTCACAACCCTCACTACAAAGGCAGAACCCTCACATCATCACGTGATCTCCGTAACGCTGTTGAGACATAGAAGTAAAAAGGACGTCATGATGAACATGGGATTATAACCTTAAAATGAAATGGGTCTGTGTCACCGCTCCCCTACAAATTGCACACGAATGGATGCAATGAATATATCACGTCGCGGTCTGATTTTCGCTTGCAAGTTTCAGATTCACTGCAATACACCCGTCCTTGGACGAGCAAAAAGGCTAGTTTCCCAATAATTATCGCTAACTGATAAGATGCTAATTGTGTGTGTGGCTTTTAAACAACGGGATGATTAGAGCCTCGTCCTTTGCAATAACCGATCATTCGTAAAACAAAAAACGAGTCAAAATAAACAAAACAAAACAAAAAAAACCCTCCGTCGTGAAAGTACAGAATCACAATTAGGCTGAAATTAGGCACGCGGATTATTGCAGCGCGGTCGAGTGGTGTAAATCGGCGCGTGATTTCATCAAACCAATTATAGCGTCGTACTAAGTGAGGCTTTTTACTCGCTAATCACCAGCCTCTTATTCGCCACGAGAGAGTATAGTGTCGTCAGAATGTGCACGTGTTACCTGTGTAGAGAAGTTCCCACGGACGTACTCGGAGACGGAGGTAAGTGAAGGGCTTCCGCCAGGGTTTATTAAGCTGTTACAATAACACACAGCAGGGTGCACAACTCCCAGGGACTAGGGGGGTCCTACTCTGAGTCCGGGTCCCTGCCGGCTAGCTCCGGTCTCTCTCTCTCTCTCGTGTCGGATCGTGGACTCTGCCGACTCCACCGAGCGGAGAGAGAAGCACCTCTACGGCTACTACCACCGGCTTCTCCCCAGACTCACCACTCGATCCCTCTCTCTACCCCTGGTGCCCTCTTCACCCCGCTTACTCTACCCGTTCCCACAGTGACCCCGCTGACGTCACGGGGTATCCCTTAAGTACCCGAGGAGACGTGACGTCATCGCATTGAACGGCACACCTGACGTCACGTCCCCATTTTACTCCTCTACACCTCGATTTAAAGCTTTCGTGACTGCAGGGATTCATCTTCTTGGTTCTTTCGGTAAAGTCACGTAGAAGGGAAATAATAAAATAATAAAAATAAAACATAATAAAATTATTCTCACGACGTTTCGGCCACAACGCAAGCAGCCGTCCTCATTCAGACGCTGTCTCCCCGACAGACCTGGTCTTCACCTGAGGACGGCTGCTTGCGTTGTGGCCGAAACGTCGTGAGAATTATTTTATTATGTTTTATTTTTATTATTTTATTATTTCCATTCTACGTGACTTTACCGAAAGAACCAAGAAGATCCTCTACACCGGTACAGCCCTTTTGTCAATCCATTGCTGGATGAGGCTCAGGTCACCCTGGGGCCCAGGTCACTCCTTGAAAATGAAGCCCATTCTCGTCTCTTGAGTTCTCACCTGGTTAAAGAAATACACTTCACTCGAGGGTCTCCCCTCTCCGTGTGGGTCATCGAGGTATCGTTTTGACATACTTCACCGCGCTGCTCTGCGTGGGTGGCTTGGTGACGGAGAGTGATACGCACGGCCGTCGCATGTCACTCGCCACTGATGTTCACTGCAGTTCGGAAACAGATTCTGGTCGCGGGGTTCATAGCGCCGAGCGCAAACCACGAACTGCTCCACCCACCGCTCGCCCACTTGCAGAATCATCTTATATCGCAGTGGCCGCTGGTGTAGATGCAGAGCAAAGGAACTTCACCGCAGTTCAGGAACAGATTCTGGTCGCGGGGTTCATCGCGCCGAGCGAAAACCACGGACTTGCTCCACCCACCGCTCGCCCACTTGCAGAATCATCTCGTATCGCAGTGGCCGCTGGTGTAGATGAAGAGCAAAACAACTTCACCTTTTCACATTCCAGGTGGTCAAGCGCAGATAGCCGCGCGAGGAGTAGCGGATTAGTGCCACGCCGCTGCCATGTCCCCATCCGTTCTAGATTTGAAGCTTTCGTGACTGCAAGGATTCATACTCTTAGTTCTTTCGGTAAAGTCACGTGGGTGAAAAATGAAATTAAAATTAAAATAAAACAATAAAAACCACGACGTTTCGGAGGCAACACAAGTCTCCGTCATCAGGTGGGACCGTCACAGCTAGATTAGCTGCATCACTTGATGCATCTAATCTGGCTGTGACGGTCATACTCTTAGTTCTGGCTGTGACGGTCATACTCTTAGTTCTTTCGGTAAAGTCACGTAGGTAAAAAATGAAATTAAAATTAAAATAAAACAGCCAGATTAGCTGCATCAAGTGATGCATCAAGTGATGCAGCTAATCTGGCTGTGACGGTCCCACCTGATGACGGAGACTTGTGTTGCCTCCGAAACGTCGTGATTTTTATTGTTTTATTTTAATTTCATTTTTTACCTACGTGACTTTACCGAAAGAACTAAGAGTATGTCCCCCTTCGTGTTTGTGGATCGGGGCGTTGCGTCGTCACGCATTGTTGACGGCCTCTGTTCTCGATGACCATAGTCGCATCACTGCTGGAGAGTTCTTTTTTATTACATTTTCCATTTGTGCACCATCAGGTATCCGCATCTACCGCCATATTCTTAGGTTTTTTTCGGTAAAGTCACGTAGGTAAAAATTTTAAATTAATAAAAGTAAAATTAAAATTAAATTAAAATCACGACGTTTCGGAGGCAACACAAGCTTCCGTTTTCAGGTGGAATCGTCACAGCACGACAGCTGCATCAAGTGAGAGGAGAAGACGGAAGCTTGTGTTGCCTCCGAAACGTCGTGATTTTTATTTTATTTACTTTTATTATTTTTTTACCTACGTGACTTTACCGAA